ATTTAAATTTAAATTTATTTGTTTTATTGATACAAAACAGATGCACATATTTTCAGGATATATGTGAAAATTTGATACATCATATAATATGTAAAGAACAATTCAGGGTAACTGGGATATTAATCACCTTGAATATTTATCTTTTTGTTTTGTGGGAACATTAAAATGATTCTCTTCTAGCTATTTTGAAATGTACAACAGGTTAATGCTAACTATAGTTGCCCTACTAATCTATCAAGCATTAGGTTTTATTTTTTCTAACATTAATCAACCTCTCTTCATCCCTCCACCCTTCTCCCTACTCTTCCTGGCCACTGGTAAGCACCTATCAACTCTCTATATTCATAAGAACTACCTTTTTAGCTCCCACATATGAATGAGAACATGTGATATTTGTCTTTTTATGCTTGGCTTATTTCACTTAGCATAATGACCTCTTGCTGGTGACAATGTGGAGAAAGGGAACGCTGGTGCACTGTTAATGGGAATGTAAATTTAGTACAGTCACAATGGAAAACAGTGTGGAGGTTCCTCAAAAAACTAAAAATAGAACTACCGTACTTGAGCAATTCCATCACTAGGTCTATATCCAAAAGAAAGCAATCAGTGTATCAAAGAAATATCCCCATGTTGATTCAGCACTATTCACAATAGCCAAAATATGGAATCAACCTAAGTGTCCATCAGTAGATGAATGAATTTTTAAAATGTGGTATAACACAGTGGACTATTCAGCCATAAAAAATAAAATCCTGTCATTTGTAGCCACCCGGATGAACCTGGAGGGCATTATATTAAGTGAAATAAGCTAAGCACAGAGAGACACATACTGTGTAATCTCACTTACATGTACAATCTTAAAAAGTTGATTTTATAGAAGCAGAGAGTAGGAGAGTGGTTACCAGAGGTATTGAGGTGGAGGTTTGTCACCTGGTACAAAGTCAGGGTTAGATAGGAAGAACGATTTTCAGTGTTCCATTGTACAGTAGGGCGGCTATTGTTAACAATAATATATTATATATTTCAATAGAGCTAGAAGACAGGATTTTCAATGTTCTCACCAGATAGAAATGATAAATGTCTAAGGTGATGGATATGTTAATTTTCCTAATTTGATCGTTACACATTGTATACATATATCAAAACATAACACTGTATCTCATATATAATATGTGAATTAAATTTTTTTAAATTAAAAATTGTATACAGTGATTAACATTTCGCCTTTCAAATCAAGTTTAACTATATAATAACTTACTGCACATACTCTCTCTCCATTATATATAGTGTGTATATCTATACATTTATATATATATTATTTTATGTATATATGTATAATATTTCTACCGGAAAACAGCATATTTTCCTGAAATGCAATACTTAACCTATATCATGCTATTTTCCATATTCTGAGTGCTTTAGGATGCCAATTTTATCTAGATATACTTTTAGGTACATTTACAGATCTAAAAGAGCTGTTGTCGCCATGCTTGACTGGTCTAAATCCTTGTTAAAAACACCCTTTTCCGCAAAGAAAAGGGGCATAGGAGAGATTCCTCAAACCTGTAATTCTTTGTAGCACTATTTAGCCAGAAATTTATAATTCATTTTAAAAATATTTTTGAGGTTGTCAGTGTAAGAACGTAGTCAGAGAGTGAATGTTTATTTTCTGCTGTTTCTGACTCCCGGACAAACTCACAAGTTATATTCTTTTCAACCCCATCTGCCTATTTCTGAGTGGATAGAACAGTTTCGTCAATCACAAAGCACTAGTATCTCAGTTTGTTGACTGAATGACAGAAGAATGCTTTACACTTACATTGAGAAAAAGATGTGTGTAAAAAGCAGCGAAACACTGTCAGTAAACACTGAATATAGTATAAGAAGATCGCTGCACAATCTGGCTCAGATACAGTGGTCTTTTGTCCCTGAATAAACTTGTGATGTGGTGTATTATTCAATGAACGTGAATATACTTCTTGTTTAACAGAATTTCTGTTAAATTATTGCCAAACCATTTCCTCTTCAGGAAACAGATTCTCGATTTATGGAGTAATAACTTCCTTTCGTTCATCGAATAAGAGATTGAAGAGTCATGAATGTCACTTCGTTTTCTACCTGTCTTTAGAGAAAATGCAACTGTCAGATCCCTGTGGAGGACGTGCACGTTGCCATCCCTGCTTGCTGTCCCTCTGGCCAGAGGGACACGACGGCTGCCCTTCGTAGAAGAAGCACTCGCCCATTTTATGCATGGTACTGCTCGTTGCCGCAACAAACATTGGCCACTGGTTTAAAAATGGTTGAGTGTAGGCTGTCCAGTGACTTTCTTTTGAGATGGTCAGGCATGAAAGTCTCTGCCCAACAGAGTGACGAAGGCAGAGAGAATTCCCTAAAGCAGTCAAATCATTCCCTGTCTTCAAAATTTTCTCTGAGGGATATGGAGGGGAATGACTCGCCAGAAGTGGGAGAATGTCAACGGACAGAGAGAAGCAGTGGCTACAGGAAACCCTGAGCGAAACGCAGAGAGAAGTTGCTTTCTAGCACTGCCTTGCATCCTTTCATTTCTGCATGTATTTAGGTCATAAGAATACACAAACACATAATCTGAAGGATCTCAATTACTTTCAGTAAGAAGGCCTTCATACAATCTTCATACGAATTCCATTTTTTATGGCAAGGTTACTCCGTATGACTCACCCTAATTGATCTGGAACAAGAACTGACAGAAAAGAATTGTACTGTGTCATGCCTGATGCAAAAGGGTTTACAAACATCCTCATAAAAGAAAACTTCCACCTGGAAGATGGAAGGACCTCTTATCTACGTACCTGTTAGACTGGGGCACAGTCACCTTATTGTGGGAGTTAAAGATAAGAGAAATTAGAGAACAGCTTATTTTTGAGGCCAGGATAATAACGAGTTATTTTAAAAAGATCTTGGAAACCTGCAGATGCAAAGGAAAAAAAAGAACACTCCTAATGGTAAAAACAAGTAAGTCTGACTGCGTCATTTTGTAGTGAGACAATGAGGAAATGGGAACTCATCAGAGGGTAACTGGGTGGCGCCTGTAAAAGTGAAGATGTGCTTATCCCTCAGCAGACATTTGCTGGGAAACCCTTACAGATGTTACAAGCACAGTTGTAGAAAATGTCTATTAGAGCACTGTTTGTAACTGAAAAATGTTTCATTCATACTTTGAATGTAAAGAATAAAAGTGAATGAAAAACTGGAAGCATCACACCGTGCTTTTGATTTGCATTTCCCCAATCATTTAGTACAACCACCGTGAAAAACAGTGTGGAGATTCCTTAAATAACTAAAAGTAGAACTACCATTTGATCCAGTAGTCCCACTACTGGGTATCTACCCAGAAGAAAATAAGTCGTTATATGAAAAACATACTTGCACACACATATATATGGCAGCACAATTCACAATTGCCCAAGAGCCCGTCAATCAATGAGTAGATAAAGAAACAGTGGTACATATATATGATGGAATACTACTCACCCATAAAAAGGAATGAATTAATGGCGTTCACATCAGCCTGGATGGGATTGGAGGCTATTATTCTAAGTGAAGTAACTCAGGAATGGAAAACCAAACATTGCATGTTCTAACTCATAGTGGGAGCTCAATTGCAAGGATGCAAAGGCATAAGAATGATATAATGGACTTTAGGGACTCGGGGGAAAGGGGGAGGGGTGTGAGGAATAAAAGACTAAAAATTGGGCTCAAAGTCTATACTGCTCGGGTGATGGGTGCACCAAAATTTCACAAGTCACCACTAAATAACTTAATCATGTAATCAAATACCACCTATTCCCCAAAACCTGTGGAAATAATTTTTTTTTTTAAATGGAAGCATCCAAAGTGTAATTTGTTTCCACATTCTTGTAAGCCTCATTACGTATCTCAGGGACAGTTAACACCGTCATACAAATTCAGAGGTGAGGAAATGGAATCACAGAGAGTTTAAGTACTTTGCCTAAGGAGAGTGAGGGGTGAGGCAGGATTTGCAGTCTAGAAGCCTGGGTCTAGAGTTCTCCACTCTGCACTATGTTATTTCTGTAAATTTCTTACTGAAGACTGTATGGAAATGTAGAGTGAGACAGAACTAAAGCTCACCAGTCTTAGTCCATAGGGGAGTAGTGACTACCCAGCGCTTGCTAAGTGCTCAGTAATGTTAATTGAAAGATGAATCAATATTTCAATGCTGGGGCAAAGAGTGAGAAACTGGGGAATGTCCAGGAACCAGCTATCAGGATAAGGCAGGACTAGAATTAATGCAATAGTCCTCACAGGTCCCCAAGTCAACAACAGAAAAATCAAAAGCTAAGGTGGCTCTTGTTTGATCAAGGACCTCTTGTACACCGACCTGTTAGGCTGCGGCACAGTCAACATGGGAGTTGTAGACAAGCTACTTGCGAGTGGTTGATGGTAGCAGTCAGGCATTTGGAGCTGGAGAGAAGGCTGATTCTCCTCAACTAGTATCAGACTGAGTAGGGACTTAAAGCTTCAGAAGTCTGAGCAGCAAAGCTGATAAGCAGCAAAGCTGATGTTCATATGCATGATAGAGTTTCAGTGATGAGTCTCAGAAGAAAAAAGTTTATGTATGTTTTCCTTAAAAATATGTTCACTTATATTTAGGGAATCCTTCAGATAGCTGATCTAAATATGTCTGTAAAATTTAGTCTCATTCTTTTTATGACATTATTAGTATAATAATATGAATATTTCCCAGTGGACTTACTTCCACACTTCCTTCAAGGATTCTCCATTTTATTTCATACTTGAAGACTGTTAATAAATCACTCTCTAGCTAAGAACAAGTCAATGCTAAAGCACTTAGCTTATGTGACCTTCACATTAATTATTTTTATGACAGCAGCAGGAACTTTCAGCTGCTTTTCCCCCTTCCTTATGAAGCCATGTGGCCCCAAGCAGACACAGTTCCCTTACTATGCTTAATGGTGGGCTTCTTAGACCTGTGCGTATCTTAAAAGCTTTCCCTTGAAGGTGCTAATCCAAACTCCAAGTTTCCCCAGCAGATTTAAGGGGCTTTAAATCTGCTTGAGCGTGAGTGTTGTGAGATGACTTTGAAATTCTTACAAAAACTGAAAGTGAAATGAGGAAGACAGATTGAGCAATCCAATTGGAGGGTAAATGCCAGCAAACCTACTGTACAGTAGGGGTAGAGATGCAGAAAGGCAGAAAGAAGAAAATTCAGGAGGACTCTCCTGAGGGGTGAGCCAAGCCCTGCCATGTAGTGCACACAGGACATCAACAAACACAGATAACAGGAAATGATCCATTCCCTGTGGTCACTTATTCTAAAGGCCCCAACCTTCAAAGTTCAAGTAGTGATATGGATGACTCCACAGAAAGGGAGCAGTCACGCCTTACTTCTTGCCTTAAGAAAAGAGAAGAAATGAAACTGAAGGAGTGTGTTTCCATCCTCCCACAGAAGGAAAGCCCCTCTGTTCGATCCTCCAAAGACAGAAAGCTGCTGGCTGCAGCCTTGCTGCTGGCACTGCTGTCTTGCTGCCTCACGGTGGTGTCTTTCTACCAGGTGGCCGCCCTGCAAGGGGACCTGGCCAGCCTCCGGGCAGAGCTGCAGGGCCACCACGCGGAGAAGCTGCCAGCAAGAGCAAGAGCCCCCAAGGCCGGTCTGGGGGAAGCTCCAGCTGTCACCGCAGGACTGAAAGTGAGTTTGCAGCAGCTGCAAGCCTCAGGCAAGATCCTGCCTACACTGCTGCCTCTCCCTCACCTCAGCTGTCTTTCCAATAATGTGGAATTTTTCTGTTCATAGATCTTTGAACCACCAGCTCCAGGAGAAGGCAACTCCAGTCAGAGCAGCAGAAATAAGCGTGCTATTCAGGGTGCAGAAGAAACAGGTATGTTTTGGGCGCAGACACTCCCTTAGGAGTCAGGGATTAGAGAAAAACATCCGGTTTGGGGGAGCTAGAGGTGAGTATCCCCTCTATGAACCTATTAAATAGAGACTATAAAATTTGCCATCCAAAGCAGACATTGCTTTAGAGCAAAGCCCCAGCACTGGCAAATGTAATAGGCTGCATGGGTGTGCTTTTTCCTCCAATGAGCAGATGGTGTGAGTGGAAGCATTTCTCTGTGCATGTGTAAGTATTTATCTGTGCATTAAGCACAGAGGAGGTAAAAGGGCCATATGTGTTTCCTCAGGTAGATAATGCCCTCCCATGTGAGAAGCATTATTCATCGTTCCAGAAAAATCAAAAAAAGCCCTACGTGTTAGATTTAGACTTTGCTTATCTCGGTCATAGAAAGTGATAGACATCTATTTTCTGAATGTGCATTACATGTTGTGAAACCAGGTAAAGGTGTAATGAAAGGCCCTGTATGTTGTGCTTTAATTTTGTTTATTTGTTAAAAAGGTTATTTTACACACACATACACACACACACACACAGATTTTAAAGCTTTTCTTTAAGGTATGCTTTTCCAGGAGATCCGTGCATTTATCATCTTCTTATCATCATCCTTTAGTGATTTCTGACTTTCTTCATGTTCTACTCATTCCCCAGAACTTTACAGAGTTGGTAGGGCCTACCAAAATGATCAGCTCTAGTTCTTTCATTTGAAAGTGAAGAAAAGAGTCTTTGTATTACATTTATTAAATTATAACGTAACAACTTCTTGATATTATTGTCCTTCTGTTAAATATATTGAAAGAATATTTTTGAACACCTGGAACGTATCGTACAGCTATAGACCAGAATAGGCATTTTCGAACATACTATTTTGTTTAACCTTCACAGTGGCTCTATGAAGTCCACAGAATACTTACAATAATTTATGTGTATTTTCACTTCTGGAGAGAATTACATAAGAAACGTAGTGAGAGATAGACCAGGGACCTTCCATCTCTCTCTCTCTCTCTCTCTCTCTCTCTCTCTGTCACACACACACACACACAGACACACACGCGTGAGGTTCCCTAACTATAAATTTATTTTTTGACTATATGCTTTATTCATAAAAAATTATTTTTTATTTTATAAAACCGTAATTTTTGGTATCTGGTTATTATATCTTTGTACCAGTGATCAGGAATAACTGGGCTTAAACTAGGAAACATGCACATTTTTATTATTTTAACACATCAATTATTTTTATTGTTTGCACTTTATAATCTATATTTCTGACGTAATTGAAAATAATATGAAATGTATACTATGGCATTTTTTGTTTTGACTTACACAATAAGGATTTTTCCTATTTCTAAGTATTTTTCATATATCTGTATAAATTTATCTAACAATTGTTTTAGTTATTTCTATTCTCTTTGTTATAATAAAACGTGCAAAAGTTTTGTACAGAATTCTTTTATTTCTTTGAAATTATATATTCAATATAAAATCCATATAGTGAAACAGCTGAGCTAGGGAGAAGAAACATCTTCATCACCCTTGTTTCCAACTGCCATATTGTTTTCCAAACGAGTTACACATGCAGTCAAAAATGTGGTGCACTGGTTCTCCACATTCTTGCTAGCGTGTTATTTTTAAAATGTATTTTGACTAGTTTAGTAGTTGTAAAACAGTATCTCACATTTATTTTGATGTGTTGCTTGTTTACTAATATAAATAAACTTTCTGCATATTTTGATTATTTATAGTTTTATCTTTTGCAAATTTTTATTTATAACTGTCTCCAGTTGTCTGTCCCATGTTTTTATAATTTTGGATAAGCTCTTCCTAATTAGATATATTGATTATTGATCAAAATTTTGATGTAAATATTTAAACGGTTTTGCTGCTTTTTTTACTTGAACATTTTGCATTTCTTTATAGTAAAGCGATAATCTTTAAAAAATTTTCCCTAATATTAAAGCTAAAAATACATTTGTTCATGATTTGTTAAGTAGTTGACTCCCCGTCACTTTGACCTTTTGATAGTTGAGTGTTTTGTTTTAACTCATTAGTCCTTCTGTTGTTTATTTTGATGAATCATCTCGCATTGGCTTTAACTTCCCCCTCTCTCTTTCTTCCTTCCAAACTGCTATCGCAACCAAATGTATTAAATAGTTCTTTGTTCCTTGGTGTTGAAAAGCTTACTGTGTTTCATTCAGTTCCTCATAAGAGTTGAATCTATGTGAGACTCCTTTTTTTCATTGATTAATTATTCTATTTATATGCTTTAAATAATCTTTTTAAGGTCATTTGTATGAGGCTTCAATAACTAGTAGGGTCAGGATTCTTCAATCTCCTTAACCTTCACTGCTAGTATCCTCCTGTTTCTAAATACTATTTTTAAAAATAAACTTTAACTTTACAATTTAAAAAAAGGTGTAGACTCATTTCAGCAGATTGAAGAAGGAAAAAAATAATAGAATAGGAAAGAAATATCTTCTTGGGTCACATTGTCCCAACATTCTCCTATTAATACTTTCATGTATTTGTGTTTTAATGGTATCCAGGAATAGTATACTGATGAGAATCTCTCACCAAATGGTTTGCAATTTGTAGATTCAAACAAAGTGAAAAAACATGTACCCAGTTTTCCACAGCCCAGAAGTAGTTACTATAATTATTTCATGGTTTGTCCTAGACTTTTTAATAAAGCTTGATACAGTGTGCATATAGGTATATATTGCACACAGTTGAGACTTGAACAACACAAGTTTTAACAGCATGGGTACACTTACAGGTAGATTTTTTTTTTTCAATAAACCTATTGGAAAATTGTTTGTAGATTTGCAATAACTTGAAAAAACTCATGGAAGAACTGTGTATCCTTGAAATGTTGAAAATACTAAGATTAATTAGCCATGTCATGAATGGATAAAATATATGTAGATACTAGTGTATTTTCTTATTACTATCACAAAATATACACAAAAGTTAAAAATTCTCAAAACATATGCATACAAACAGACTGTACATGGCGCCATTTGTAGTCTAGAGAAATGAAAACAAACATAAACATGCAGTATTAAGTCATAACTGCATAAAATTAACTGTGGTACATATTGTACTACTGTAATAATTTCATAGCCACCTCCTATTGCTACTGCAGTGAGCTCAAGTGGTGTATCTGCTTAAAACACCATGTGATGCTCATCGTCTCTGCATGAGCCAGTTGTATCTCCAATAAATTGAGAATTGCAGTAAGAATGATTTCTCATGATTTGTGTGTATTTTTTGTCTTGCTTAATGCAATATCATAAACCTTGAATAACACCATGAGACCTATGGAAAGTGCGACTAATGATGCTAGAAATGCTCCCAAGAAGCAAAGAAGGGTCATGACATTATAGCTGACCCTTGAACAACACAGGTTTGAACTGCGAGGGTCCACTTATATGTGGATATTCTTCCACTTTCCACCCTTGAGACAGCAAGACCACCCCCTCCTTTCCCTCCTGCCCCTTAGCTCACTCAATGTGAAGAATGAAGAACTCTCTAATGATCCACTTCCACTTAATGAATGGTAAATGCATTTTCTCTTCCTTATGATTTTTTAAGTAACATTTTCTTTTCTCTAGCTTACTTTATTGTGAGAATACACTATATAATACATACAATTTATGAAATACATATTGATTGAGTTTTTGTTATCAGAAAGGCTTCTGGTCTACAGTGGGCTGTTCGTAGTTAAGATTTTGGAGTCAAAAGTTAAGCACAAATTTTGACTGCATGGGATCAGTGACCCTAACTCCTGTGTTGTTCAAGGATCAACTGTATTTGTTCATATATATGTATATGAACAAATATATATATATATTTATACAAATATATACACATAAATATATATACATACAAATATATATACATAAATATATATATTCATACATATATATACACAAATATGTGTGTGTGTGTGTGGATATATAGTGTGTGTGTTATGTGTATATACTCAAATAAAACGTAGTATGCACACTTATAACATTCATAAATCCAAGGTGGAAGGTTTGAAGATAAGAATCTTAATGACAGGTGATGTCTACTATTCCTTGTTAATAAAATTATGAAATTCATTTGAATGTTGCTCTAGATACTATTCTTTGGTGGAAGGAAAATTTGTTTTGTTTAGCATACTCCAAAATTAATGTTTATATTCCCAAAAAAGTTGTAACACAAGGACTTTTTTTAGTAGAAATTTTTTTGGCATTGAGAAAATTCTATGCAGCTTTCTTTGATTTTTGTTTTCATTCAAGTTCTGATTTATTTTCAATAGGACCCAAAACCGTAAGTTGTCCTTTTTACTTTTAAAGTGTTTATTTATGTTCATGTTTATTAATTGTCTACATGTTTTAGAACCAAGTATTTTTATTGGAACTTCACACAAACTGTAGATGAAGGGAGGGGAATTACCGTCAGCCAACATGTCCCAGTGATACTCTCTTCCAGGCATCCCATGGGTAAACAGTGATTTTACTTAATTTCTTAATTTTAGAATTTAGTACTTTGGCTTTAGTTTTGTTTTTCTTAATTACTTTGTGTTTCAAACCAAAATCTCATTAAGCTTAATGTATTTCATAATACCATTTTTGATTGTAGTATAATAAACAGAAATGTGGGGAAATCCAGGATTAAAAAATTGCCAAATAGCTCATATTAGCCAAAAATTCACTTTTAAGCCTGTAACTCTGTTTGGAGATATTCCCAATTTAAAAAATAACTAAAACAATATGGCTTTGAAAATATTACATAATAAAATTTATTTACAAATGGAATCATGAAGATCCACATTTTGAACATCACTTAACTATAATTTTATTAATTTTAAGAACCTAAAGATAAACGTCTTTAGAGTCTGTCAAGAAAGTGAATTGTTTCAAATGGGTTATCACTGACCTAAAAAGGTTCATTGTTAAAATTAGGTAACCTTTGTATTTTCTTTCCTGTTAATTAAT